TTGCTGCAAGGGAAAATAGAAGATTTTCCACCTAAAATTATATTCCAACATGCTGATAGAAGGTGTCATGGGGATAGAGTGATAGTGGTGCCACTGGTTAAAGTTTACTTAAGCAAGTAATTTTGTTATGGGTCTTGTTAAGTGAATGTGGTCCCAATCTCACTACCAATGACATTTTATTAGAGAACAACTTGGCTGGCAGCAAGATATCTCCACCCAAACTGGAAAGGTCACCAGATTGGGGTGGTATGGTGGTTCAGTGGTTAGCACTGCTACCTCACAGCACCAGGGACCCAGGTTCAATTCCAGCCTTGTGTGACTGTCTGTATGGGGTTTGTACGTTCTCCCATATCTGTGCAGGTTTCCGTGATCCAAAGGTGTGCACGTTAGGTGGACTGGCTGTGGGAATTACAGGGACAGAGTAGGGGGTTGGATCTGGGAGGGATGCTTTTTGGAAGATCAATGGGCCAAATGGCCTGCTTCCACAGTTGGGACGCTATGACTGAGAAGGCCAGCAAAAAGATCAACCTAAAGAGGATTGAATATCCCACAGAGGGAAATAAACTCTAGGAGGATTGGAATGGCCCAGGGTGACTTGAATTAAACAGGACAGAAGGTAGACCAGTGGTCATCAGAAAGGGTCAAGACAACCCTCAAAGCAGTAATCTGTGGAACTATAAAAGGGCTTGGAAACAAGATAACAGGGTAAAGGAAGATATCTGGATAACAATGTGTTCCTGGTAAACTCCTCGGAGTTCTCAGAGAAGGTGAAGCCTCACTTGGGGTACTGTGTAGCAAATAACATTCACACAGGAGCAGTAATGTTTCAGGGAAGGCCAAACAGTTTAGGAAAAAACCCATTCCCAATACAAAAGGGGGAACCTACCCAGAGCAAACACCACTGGTGGAGTCTACCAGGGGCTTGCTAATGAGTTGAAGACAGAGTTACCCATTGCCAGTTCAAGGAACAAAACCAAGTTTTAAACCTCAACCAGTTGATGTCTCAGAAATTGAGTCCTGAAAACCAATATTGGATAATCAAAATCATCTGAACTGAAGTTGCCTTTTTATCAAGATATGTTGAAAGCAGGCAACTGAGTCAGGCATTAAGAAACTCGGATCTCCTGTTTTAATATATATTTGGATGGAAAGTTGCACATATTGGACACAAAAGGTTTCCCAATAACTATCCAGCCTAGGCAAACAATGGAGCCACAGTCAGGAAACACAAATGAACCATATTTCAGAAGCTGCTTGATTAAGCAGTAGTGAAAGGAAAATGGATTCAGAGCAGCAGGATCTGGAAGACTGCCCCTGTGCCTTTTGGACACCACGGTCTCAGATTGAATTAAGACCAACTCAAGCACTCGAAAAACTGGGTAAACTACATATTCTTTATCTTCCTACTGCACCAGACCCCTCTCCCCTTTAAAACTTTACCCCTGTGTTTTTTGTGTGTTTGATGCTGTTTTATTATTATTATGCATTCAATCAAACCCTGTAATTGGCTTAATTTTGACTTGTTTATTTTAATTAAAGCGTGTTATGGCTATATGCTGAAAGGAATTAAAAATTTTTGTGTTTTGACTGAGGGGTTTACAAAGAATGTCACCAATCCTTTCTCACCCGGTTATCACAAACCGTTTAATTATTTTTAACAACCTTTTGGACATCTTTTGATACACTGTAGGCAGTATTTGAGCACAAACCTCCTGCCCAGATGTAGGGGCATTACCATGGGACTACATGACCCCTCTCATAACCTTTACATATGGTCATGACACTCAGTGTAAATTAAGCCATGGGGAGTTGATCTTTGGATGACCTGAAGTTTACTGGGGAATTTCACTAGAAGAAATCCCCGATAGCTGGAAACAATTGAATTGCTGAGTCAAAGCAAATCAGTTGCCTTAATCCCAATGTTCAGACAATACTCTGAAGTACACTTCCAGGGAATACATTTATAGGTCTTTAATCTCGCCACACAATACCACTGAGTGTCTTGAAAGATCGGGTGGAGTCATAAATATACCACTTATCCAGGACCAATTGACTAATCTTTAGGAAGATCCGAAGATATGCAACTAATTTACATTGTGTGGTTGATGGGGCCAGGCTACAGTGTAGTCACAAACATGCTTTGAGATCCTACAAGAATCTCTTTGTAATTCTGTGCAACCATCTTCTGATGAAGGGTCTAGGCCCGAAACGTCAGCCTTCCTGCTCCTGTGATGCTGCTTGGCCTGCTGTGTTCATCCAGCTCTACACCTTGTTATCTCAGATTCTCCAGCATCTGCAGTTCCTACTATCCCTGTGGATAGATACATTTACCTTTAAATGCAGTTAATTAAAAGACAATTAAGTGCCTGGCAGTGAACAGAGCTGGAAGTACAATAGCTATCCTGAGTTCTCACTCAACTTGAAAATGCTACGCAGGGGTGTGGGAACTCTTGTGACTTTGAGAAATTGACTAGATTGATAGTAATATTTAAAATGCTGAGGGGATTAGGGAGAGACACCTTACTGATGAAATAATCTAGTCTGAGGGATTTTAAAATCTTAGTTTTTTTGATTGGAACGAAGTGATTTAGGAGTGAACACAGGAAGCAATCATTCACACAAAGGGTTGTAGAAGAATCAAAATAGGAAATTCTCTCCCCAAACACCAGGTCAGTTGAAAGTTTCAGGATGCATCACAAGATGCTTGTTGCATGAAGGTAATTGGGAATCTGATGCTAACTGTAGAATTGTGGTACAGATCAGTTATGGTTGAACAATGGCACAATCATAAAATCCCTACAGTGTGGAAGCAGCCACATTGACCCTCCAAAAGACATCCCACCCAGACCCACCCCACTACCTTATCCCCGTAACCCTGCATTTCCCCATGGAAAACCCACCTAATCTACACATCCCTGGACACTATGGGGCAATTTACCATGGTCAATCCACCTAACCTGCACATCTTTGGACTGTGGGAGGAAACCAGAGCACCCGGAGGAAACCCATGCAGACACGGGGAGAATGTGCAAACTACACAGTCACTGGAGGGTGGAAATGAACTTGGGTCCCTGGTACTGTGAGGCAGCAATGCTAACCATTAGGACATCGTGCTGTCCAGTCTTGGTGACCCTGCTGCTACTTACAGCCAGCTCAGTGGAAAGCCCTCGTGGCACAGTGGTAGAGTCCATATCTCTGAACTAGCAGGCATTTCAGGTCCCATCTACCCTACACAGGGGTGTGTAATAACGTGTACTGAACAGGTTGAGTAGGAAATATCCAGTCACCTCAGTGACTGAGGATATGCTACCCACGTGTTTTACAGAAGGCCTCCAGCTGTGAGACTTATAAATATCCAGAAAACTTGCAGCTTTAAGATTTCTTCAGCAGTGAGTCATTTTATTTGCTCATTGGTCAACATCACCAGTGCAAACACAGATCAAGTCGTAATTCCCCAAGGTAACTGATTTGGATGTGCAAAGAAATAAAAAAAAAACACATTCCCTTTTAATCCAGTTCCTGTGCTATTTTTAATGCAAATAGTGTCTTGTTTTTGTGTTGCGGTGCCAGCACTAGAACACGGGACTCTATTAAATTGTACAAATCAGTAGAAGTCATGTTCATGCACTGGGGGGAATGGAGGGGAGGGCAGGGGAGAGAGGAATTATTGGGCATTTCTAAATGGGAAAGCAGTTTCTGATGTTCTTTTTGGCGAGTGTTGGTCACAAACATTGCTGTTTTAAGCTACTCCAATCAAACGACAAGGTCCAAATAAATGAAACGGAATGGAAACAAAACAGAACCAAGGTACACCGCAATCAATTCACTGCCAACGGAGCAGTGAACATAGCCACAGGTAACAACTTTTATACTCAGTCTTACCCATTTAACAAGGCAAAATTCAGCAAAGATACTAACATTTTTTTTGATATATTTGTGCAGTACAGTTCCTGGTGCGAACAGACACAGTTTAAGACTTTGTAAAGCAAGACTTTAGGATTCCTTTGCAGGGGCTGAATGGCACTCTCGCTCCAGGCCGAGGGAGGTTTTTCCTCTTGCTGACGTGAGTAATGTGCATGTTTTAGAGTGATTTCCTTAACAGGTATGGGTTCACAGCAGTTCCCCTTTCTGTGGATACACATGGTGGGCCTTACTAGACATAGCTTCAATGGAAGAGAATGAACTGTTAAGGGATGCAGATCGAGATGGCCGATCTCCAGGGGCCCCAACCCAAATCTGCGTGTGTTGCCCCTTTCCTAATGGGCATTACCCATCACTCACCAAGTACAAGGCTCAGTGTGTGACAGTATAATTACAGAAAGAATGTAAATCAAAAAGGTGCTTTGGTCACTCAGATTTAAAAATGGTGCATTGAAAATTACAAAACTGCTTTGCTTCTGCCCAATCAAATGGAGGTTACAGGTGGTGGGCGCAAGAATAATGGACTAAGTGGAAACAAGGGTTTGCTTTTTCCAATCCAATCAAATAGTCCAAATAAATGGAATGGAAACAAGGATCGCACAGGACTGGAGCCTGAGGTCTAAAAGCCGAGAAAGAGAACCTCAAGCTCCAACCTGCAGAACTACACCTTGTTACAAAAGGAACAGAAAAGATCCCAGATCTGATGATCCACGCAGGATCTACTAAATGACATCACCCACTGAATGAAGGACAAAGCAAGTGATTACAAAAGGTTAACAGCACAATGAACAGACAGGAAGAGCAGTAATTAAGCGCAGTAATCAAGGCCAATTCATAAGGTGCAGGCTCCACCACAAGAATGTCTTTTTCAAAGAAAGGGACAGATTGAAACCTGAACCTTGACAGATCTATTCCTGTCTCACACACCAGGGAAGAGTTTACATAGAGATAGCTGTGCTTATTCTAACATAGAGAGAGTTTACATAGAGATAGCTGTGCTTATTCTAACAATAGGAGAAATGCTGCGTGACTGAGGAAAAAGAAGGAACTTTTGCAATAAAAATTCTACAATTACAAAATTTAAAAAAAAACTTTGGTCGGCATTCAATCTTTAATGGTTGGGTGGAATAAGTTGACACTTGCTCAAAGGGACAGGACATTGTGGAATGTTCAATCGCAAGCGATCAGTTGGCATTGGTTGCTGGGAGTTATGTTCCTTAAGGTTTTCTTTATAAATTGTGGAGTTCTTGTAAAGTTTGATCGAGGACCTGGTGCATTCCCATGTTCTCTTCTTTTGCACGAGTAACTTTTTCTACAAAGAGAGAGAAATACATCAGTAACAGGTGAGAAAGACGTGAAACTTGTTCATCAATAACCTCACATCTTGCAAATTTACATCCTCGGCAATCTTACCTCCAGCTGGAATGGTGGTGGGAAAAGATGACCAGCAACTAACCCAAATTAGGTCAGATGCTATTCAAAAGTTTGAAATCTTAATTGAGAAGCCAGAATATTTGGCTGATTTAAATCCTTCATTCACAACATGGCTTCATCAGACCATAGCCATTAATATAATGACACACTCATTAGTAAATGTGGCATTAACTTAAAAATCAGTCTTCAGTGTTATTGTTTAGTTGGGTAAAACTGGTTTGGGATTTAGGGTTACAATATTATTTTTACAGCTTCAAGGAATACTTGCACTGTAACGGTTGGGTATCAAGCTGATTATTTATTTTCCAAACAGACAAGATCAAATTCAGAAAAGCTCACCATTTGCTGCCATCATCCCAAAAGTGCACATCCCAGAAGAATTTGGCAACTGAATCTATGCATTGAGTATAGGAGTTGGGAGGTCATGTTGAGGCTGTACAGGACATTGGTTAGGCCACTTTTGGAATACTGCATTCAATTCTGGTCTCCCTCTTATAGGAAGCATGTTGTTAAACTTGAAAGGGTTCAGGAAAAATTTACAAGGATGTTGCCAGGGTTGGAGGGTTTGAGCTATAGGGAGAGGCTGAATAGGCTGGGGCTATTTTCCCTGGAGCGGAGGCCGAGGGTGACCTTCGAGATTTATAAAATTATGGAGGGGCATGGATAGGATGAATAGCTAAGATTATTTTCCCAGGGTACAGGGCATAGGTTTAAGGTGAGAAGGAGAAGATATAAAAGGGACCTAAGAGGCACCTTTTTCACAGAGGGTGGTGTGTGTATGGAATGAGCTGCCAGAAGAAGTGGTGAAGGCTGGTACAATTACAACATTTAAAAGGCATCTGAAGGGGTACATGAATAGGAAGAGTTTAAGAGGGATATGGGCCAAATGCTGGCAAATGGGATTAGAATAATTTAGGGTATCTGGTCAGCATGTGTGTGTTGGACCAAAGGGTCTGTTTCCGTGCTGTACAACTCTATGTGATAGTTTAGCCCAGGACACTCTCCTTGATAATTCATTATTTAACATGGGATTCTCAGTTGGAATCAGTGTTTATGGGTCTCCCTGGCCTTACATTTCAAATTTAGGATCACGATAGATGTTAAATCATCTCTTCCCCACACTGAAACCTCCCATGCCCCACCTGTGCTATCCCAGGTGAGGTACACATAATAGAAGCAAATCAATGTGCAAACTACTGGATCTCACCCAACCATCCCCTGGGAAGCGGGAATAGGGAACTAAAAAGTGTTTTAGTGAATGTCTTCAAAATACCTGTCCCACCCCACAAAGGGAGCCTGACTATATTTATTGAGGTAGGTTGCACAGGGACACCCAGGTCCAGGCAATCTCCTTAAAATCAGGGCAAGTGGAAGTTTGCTTCAGGGTTTTACCTGGGCTGGGAAAGGTTTCTGTTGGCTGCAGGAAGAGGCGGTATCCTTCAGGAAATAGTTTGGGATCATTAGTGAGGTTTGTTTACTGCCAATGGTAAGCATACAGATTCCAGGGTGGGGTTTAAAAAACCCACTGACAAAGAATCTACATGGTTCCCAAAAGAATGCAGCAGCAGCAAAATCCACTGGAATCTGCCTCACCAACACAAAAAGATCTCTTAATTAGACACAACATTAACATAGACACAACGTTGGCTCTAAACTGACCCAAGACCTTTTACTTTTCTCAAAACTGCTACCAGCAGGTAAAGAAGGGGAAGCAGTTACATCTTTCAGGGTAATAAGGGTTGGCTGTAATTGCTAGCCCTGACAGTAACATCCCCAGAATGGATGTGTTTTTAAAAAAAAAACAAACATTGAGCTTGTGTTTGAAATGTAGTTTCTAAATATTTGGTTGGGGCATGTGATAATCCAATTCCACTAGTGTTGAAGGTCACTGATGCTAGGGAGTAGAGATCAGGCTCTCGCTCATTCCCTAGATTATTTCATACTTAAAACAATATCCAGCCCCATGCTTCTAGCACCAGTCTCCACATGACACTAACCACCCCATACACTGCCCAACACCCATCCAACTAAAGCACGAAAGCCACCAACCAGTCAACTGAGTGATACTGTCAATGTAGAGTCTATTTTAGATGGTGTTTGTGCTGTTGGTCAATGCCCTTTAACCACCTGACTGAAATTAAGTTCATTTACTCGCCACTGACACAGGAAGGGTCTCCAACCTTTGCTTGGATTTCAGCTCAGCTCGTAACAGATAGGTCACTACCTAACTCACCCTCCTGTACAGTCTCCGAAACACACTGTGTGCTAAGTGACACAATAGAGTTACAAGCTATAGGTGAGGAGTTTTTAAGTTTGTGACCACTGAGAACAAAGTGAAATTAATGCCTGTATCATGAAGATCTGAGGGCAACGTGGCAGGCTGTTCAATCTGGCTCGAGGAGAAACAGGCTGTTTCCAAAAGACTGAGATAACAAGGTGTAGAGCTGGATGAACACAGCAGGCCAAGCAGCATCAGAGGAGCAGGAAGGCTGACGTTTCGGGCCTAGACCCTTCTTCAGAAATGGGGAAAGAGGAAGGGGGTTCTGAAATAAATAGGGAGAGAGGGGGAGGCGGAGAGAAGATGGATAGAGGAGAAGATAGGTGGAGAGCAGACAGACAGGTCAAAGAGGCGGGGATGGAGCCAGTAAAGGTGAGTGTAGGTGGGGAGGTAGGAAGGAGATAGATCAGTCCAGGGAGGATGGACAGGTCAAGGGGGCGGGATGAGGTTAGTAGGTAGGAGATGGGGGTGGGGCTTGAGGTGGGAGGAGGGGATAGGTGGGAGGAAGGACAGGTTAGGGAGGTGGGGACGAGCTGGGCTGGTTGTGGGATGCGGTAGGGGGAGGGGAGATTTTGAAGCCTGTGAAGTCCACATTGATACCATTGGGCTGCAGGGTTTCCAAGCGGAATACGAGTTGCCGTTCCTGCAACCTTCGGGTAGCATCGTTGTGGCACTGCAGGAGGCCCAGGATGGACATGTCGTCTGAGGAATGGGAGGGGGAGTTGAAATGGTTCGCGACTGGGAGGTGCAGTTGTTTAGTGCGAACCGAGCGTAGGTGTTCTGCAAAGCGGTCCAAGCCTCTGCTTGGTTTCCCTGATGTAGAGGGGGCCACAACGGATGCAGTATACCACATTAGCAGATGTGCAGGTGAACATCTGCTTGATGTGGAAAGTCTTCTTGGGGCCTGGGATGGGGTTGAGGGGGAGGTGTAGCACTTCTTGAGGTTGCTGGGAAAAGTGCCGGGTGTGGTGGGGCTGGAGGGGAGTGTAGAGTGGACAAGGGAGTCACGGAGAGATTGGTCCCTCTGGAAGGCAGATAAGGGTGGGGAGGGAGAAACGTCTTTGGTGGTGGGGTCGGATTGCAGATGGCGGAAGTGTCGGAGGATGATGCGTTGGATCCAGAGGTTGGTGGGGTGGTACGTGAGGACGAGGGGGATTCTGTTTTGGTTGTTATTGCGTGGACGGGGTGCGAGGGATGAGTTGTGGGAAATTCGGGAGACACGGTCGAGGGCATTCTCGACCACTGCGGGGGTGGGGGCAGTTGCAGTCCTTGAAAAACGAGGATGAGGACATCTGAGATGTACAGGAGTGGAATGCCTCATCCTGGGAGCAGATGCGATGGAGGCGAAGGAATTGGGAATAGGGGATGGCATTTTTGCAGGAAGGGAATCTCCCCTCCCCCTACGCATCCCAAAACCAGCCCAGCTCGTCGCTGCCTCCCTAACCTGTCCTTCCTCCCACCTATCCCCTCCTTCCACCTCAAGCCCCACCCCATCTCCTACCTACTAACCTCATCCCGTCCCCTTGACCTGTCCGTCCTCCCTGGACTGACCTATCACTTCCCTACCTCCCCATCTACACTCACCTTTACTGGCTCCATCCCTGCCTCTTTGACCGGTCTGTTTCCTCTCCACCTATCTTCTCCTCTATCCATCTTCTATCCGCCTCCCCCTCTCCCTATTTATTTCAGAACCCCCTTCCCCTCCCCCATTTCTGAAGGGTCTAGGCCCGAAACGTCAGCCTTCCTGCTCCTATGATGCTGCTTGGCCTGTTGTGTTCATCCAGCTCTACACCTTGTTATCTCAGATTCTCCAGCATCTGCAATTCCTACTATCTCTGTTTCTAAAAGACTGACCACTTACCAAAAACCAACCTTACAGAGGCTTGATCCAGTAACAGCTGACAGAGCTCACTCACTCCAGCAGAGTGCCATACAGTTGTTTGACGAGGAAGAGAGGGACAGAGGAAAGTTGAAACAAGAGAGAGAAGCACACAAAGTTGAAGAACAGGAAGAATTGGAGATGATGGCACAGCAAAGTTCAGCAGCAGTTCTAGAAAGTGCAGTACATCATAAATATCTCTCATCTCATCTGAAAACCCATTCCTTAGGAGTATCTTCACACAAACTTTATCTGGTAGCAAAAAAAGGAATGTGAAAGCAGACTTCACAGATAACACCGTCTCAGTTCTCAGTGTTAAACTAAAGTCTATGAACTGATTAAAATCTCCTCACATATTCACACCCCTCCCCCACCAAGACAGCCTCAGGCTGGATATTCTGCTAGCTTGTACACAAGTCAGCGACATGTTCTGTTAGTAACAAGACATTGGCTGAATGGATTTCCAATAGGCAACAGTAGCCAGGAGTTCTCACCATCTCTTTCGTTTAGTGATTTCACCCATTCTTGCGCCAGAAGGCTGTGTGCTCAAGTCCCAGTCCAGAGAGACCCGAGCACACAGAACAGGTTGTCACTTCAGACCAGCACTGAGAGTGCTGCACTAGAACATGGTGGGGATTTTTCGGCAGATGTTAAATCGAGACCGTGCGCTCTCTTGGGGAAGTGAAACCTCTTGTCACTATTTTCAGGATGATCGGGAGTT